AGCTTTGTAGAGATACTCACAACTCTTTGAAAGAAACATGTTGCCTTTCTCATCAACTCCTGTCAACCCCTCAACACATGGATTGACTTCATAAAATTCACCATAAATGGGGAGTATGATGATCCATTTAGATTCCACAAAGATATTCCAATCTCATCCGCTTTTGCGACAAAAGTGTTTGTGTGCCTACACCAAGACTCGCATAGGGCATGATACATCTCAATAGCTCTATTATAATCATAAGTAGATCTCAAAACAAAGGAATAAATCTTAGTCATCTCTAGCTCCATACAATACTCTCAAAGTACAATGCGGCCCTAATCCCCAAAACCGCTCATCCGACAAGTCTCACCACAAGGACACAAGCCAAAACACGAGTGAGGTTGTTAGCGATTTTTTGTGCAATAGTTGGAGTCAGCATAATGAATGCACAGAATTATGATGAGCACTAATACAATGGAAAATAGGCACCATCTTGAATTGTCTAGAATGCACTCCACATCAACAACAGGATCACTCAAATCTTCGAGCCACACTTGGGACCTATCATAGGGTCAAAAACAATCAAAGCACAGTTCCCTTTTAAAAAGCAAAAACGAGATTGCTCACATTTCAAATTTGGGTGTTCTTCAACCCATGCTATGGGTCATCCTCTCTCCATATATGTAGTAATTATCATTGGAGGACTCCTAAACAAGTCAATATATACAAGTAAATCATTACAACCCACTAAAAATAAATTAAACAAAAAAGAAAAAAAAGAGAGAAAAAGGCAATAGCATGCCAAATCTAGCATTGGTCATCCAGTTTCGTTCCACTGTAGAGAACTTCCCTGGTTACAAAGAGGCCTAACATGCCATGCTCTTGGGCATTACAGTCCCAATGCAAGCAAGGACCTGCCCTCGTGGAATGTATGACTCTTTCTTGGAAAATATGACTTTTACATGTTTTAGTGTGAACATGTTCATGGTTCCAAAGCATTGCTCATCCAGTCTCCCTCACCTCTTACAAATCCATGGTTCCAAAAAGGAGGGTGCTCCTTTGAGCCTAACAGTGTTAGCTACATAAATTAATTGGCAGACTTGACTTCACCTATGGGAAATTGGTCCCATTAGTCAAGGAGAAGGCCTCATGAAGTTGAAGATAATAATAGTTGAATTAATGAGTTGCTTTGGTGGTTTTCCTAGTTGGGTAATGCCCATGTGCATGACCTGTTCCCACTGAAGACCACAACTAGAAGGTCTCTAAACACACCAACAACCACAGGTTCAGGCTTTACGGCCCCAATGCAAGCAAGGACCTGCCCTCGTTGAATATATGATAGCCACAGTTCTATATGTCCTTCACAAAAAACGAAAAAGAAAGAAAAAAAAATGAAGCAAAAATTCTTAAGGGGCGAACATGTTTTCGTCCATCAATTACAAAGCCTAAGGTATGTCATTGGCAGAACAGCATTTGTGACATCATCATCATGTCTTCGGACCAGAAAACCAATGTGGCGTTATTAGACAAAGTCTGAAGAAATAAATAAATAATAAACCTTTCTCCGTTCACTAGATGCATGAAGGGGAGTTCAACATCAACCTTGCCTTGAACTTTATGGCCTTGTTGCAAACAAGAGCCTGTCCTCGTGAGAAGTCAAGTGCTTGTGTCATTATTGTCCAGCAAACAAAAGAAGAAAAATAAATAAATAATACAATAACTGGATAGTAGGAATCAATCAGCACCCTTGAAGACATTCTAGAAAGAAGAAGGCCTTACAACAGGTACTGATATGGCATAGTGATGGTACTTGGGATTTGGACTGAATTGAACACCAAGGGTATTTTTGCCATTTTATAATTTTTCTGTAGGGTCCAATAATAGGGCTTGATTGCCTAATTATAGTTTGCTTATGTTTAAAATCTCAAAGTCATTGCATAAGTAGGATTAGAGTTATTGAGTTTTCTTTGAATTGGAATAGGATATGACAGCTTAGTTTTAGTCCAACTAGGATTATTGAGTCTAACAATTTGACTTCTAAGACTACTATGAGTCTAACAGTTTGATTCCTAGGATTATTATGAGTTTAGAGTTTATAAATATGTATGGACATTTTACACAAAAGGCAATGAAGTTTATTGAGTTTTCTTCAGCTTATGCTAGCTATGGTGAGTGATTCACAGTGTTTTAAAAGCGCAAGGCACAAAAAATGCACAAGGGCCAATTTGCGCCTAAGGTGCAAGGCACAAGGCGAGGCGCACGCCTTTTTGAAGCAAGGCACAAAATTACAAAAAAAAATGCTAAAATAAAAAAAGGTCAGAAAATTCAAAAAAATGGCAAAATTTTTAAAAATGCAAAAATTCAAAAATATTAAACATAATGTTAATAAAAAATATAAACTTAAATTTTAAAATAAATGTTTTAAAAAACCTATTATCTAAAATTAAAATACATAAACATAACATGTAAAGCATATTCAAATGAAAATTTAAAAATAAAAGCAAACAT